TTATCCAGCCATTGCTGTCGCCGATGGTGTTTACGTCAACGATCGAGGTGGGTTTCTCGATTCTTGGTCGAGAAAGTATTTTATGGATGAAAAACTTATTTCCAACCTTCTTCGTGCTGGCGAGCTTTGACAGAATGTCTGCCTGAGTGTTATGCTCGCGGGGGACATGCTTTACCTTCGCGGAGTCAAACGACTTCATTTTTTCTTTCACTAGGGCTGGATGTTTGAAGATATTGTCGTTTTTGTCCTGGTACTCTCCCATAACCTAAGAAGTAACAAGATGGCAGTCGATAGTTATATTTACCTCATTCGCACCAAGGTCCTCGGCTAGGTGCAACTCAGCAAGGAAGACCTCATACTCGGCTTGGCTGTTCAAAGTCAAAAAGGATAGAGCGTGGGAGACCTCAATCAAGATGCCTTCCCCACTTCCTGTCGAGCTAGATACCTCGTCGACATAGATCGTCCACTAGTAGGCTCCGTCCGTCGGGGAGGTCGAGACGATCATTTTTACGACAGAGTCATCCAAAACTTGAGCTTTGAGGGTCTTCCTGCCCTCGTACTATACGTCGAACTCAAAGATCTCAAATAACCATTTGGGCATCCTACCCGCCATGTCGAGACGACCGAGTAACCATTTGAGCATCCTAACCACGATCGTATGGGCCAGGAAGTAGTTCTGCAACCTTCTGGCCGCATTGATGAGGGCCAGAGCGACCTTCTTGATTTGCTGGTACTTGAGCTTGGGGCCCTGTAGGGCCATGCTGGTGAAGTAAATTGGTTTTTGTCCCTCAGGGATTTCATGAATGATTGTCATGCTGAAGGCCTCAGTTGCGACGACGAGGTACAAATATAAAGTCTTCCCGCTCTTTGGCCGTGATAGGACTGGGGTTGTGAGAGGACTTATTTGAGGTGGATGAGAGCTTGCTCACACTCCTCAGTCCACTCGAATGTGGCTTCCTTGCACAAAAGTTTGAAAAATGAGAGTGCGTGTTAGGTAGACTTGGCCACGAAGCGGGACAACGAGGTGAGCATCCCGTTTAGGGATTGGATCGATTTCTTTGAGCTCGGCGTTGGGAACTCGGAGAAAGCCCTGCACTTGTCGAAGTTCCCCTTGATCCCTCGCTCTGTCAAATAAAAGTCGAGGAATTTACCTACTCGGACACCAAAGGTGCACTTCTCTGGGTTGAATCTCATCCTGCATCTCTTTGTCGTGTCGAAGACTCATATGAGATGAGCGGTATGGTCAGTTTCTTCTTGTGATTTCATGATCATGTCATCCATGTAAACCTTGAGCATGTCCCCGATCTCACCTCATAAGACTTTGTTCATCATCCGTTCGTATGTAGCGCTAGTGTTTTTCAGGTCGAATGACATTACATTGTAGTAATAATTGCCCGACTCGGTCATGAAATTCATGTATTACTTATTCGCTTTCGCCATGGGGATTTGGTTGTACCCCGAGTATGCGTCCATGAACGACAGTAGCTTAAAACCTGCATAATTGTCGACCAATTTGTCGATGTTAGGCAAAAGATATGCATCTTTGGGGTAGGCCCTATTAAGGTTAGTATAATCAACACACATACGCCATTTCCATTAGATTTTTTAACAAGTACAACATTTGAGAGACAGGTTATGTATTGGGCTTCAAAAATAAAATTTGCCTCTAGGAGGTCTTTTACAACTAACTCAGCAGCCTTCACTTTCTCAGAAGACTGTCTATGCCTACGTTGTACTATGGCCCTAGCGCCCAGCTCTGTAGTAAGCTGGTGGCAGGCCACGTCGAGGTCAAGCTCGGGCATCTCTGCAGCGTTCCATGCGAACAAGTCAGCATTCTCCCTGAGGCAGGCATTCAACTACTTACTCGCCAAGTCAGGGAGTCCCGTGCCAATCTTTACACTCCTGTCCGGGTCACCGCCGAGAATGACCAGCTCGAAGTCGCCATCTGGAATGAGGCGCACGAGGTGGAGAGGCTGCCTGTTGCTGCCATTTGCTGGAGGGGCGTCAACTGCCGCTCCGTTCTGCTTCTGCTTGCTGGGGAAGCGACTGTCGAGGTCGACTGAGTTGACGCATGGAATGGGTTTCTGCTCCTCGGCTCTGGCTGGCTTGCTGGCAGTCTTAGGCGTGATGTTGATTGAGTTCAGTCCCTTAATGGCCGCCTAAAAACACCTTCTAGCAACTTCAATATCCCTATGGAAGGTGACGATGCGACCCCTGGCTGTGTAGTACTTCATCTTCAAATGGATTGTGGATGGTACCGCCGTTAGCTTGGCCAAGGCTGGTCTTCCCATAATGCATTGGTATAGAGAGGGGCACTCTATTACTAGAAAACGGGCTTTAACCTGTCTGACAGTCTCCTCGGACCTAAAAGTGACAAGCAACTCAACATAGCCTTATGGCCTTGTGGTGGTGCCATTGAAGCCTTGCAAGTCGGAGCCGACGTATGGAGTCAGATGCCTCTCATATAGCTGGAGAGTAGTAAATAGGTGAACATACATTATGTCGACTAAGCTCCCATGGTCGACGAGGATGCAGTGAACATCGAAGTTCGCCATATGGGCTCTGGTCAGCAAAATAATGATGGAATTATGGGCGTCACCCGGTAACTCCTCGAGGTAGAAGGTGATCGAGTTTGATTTACCATCAAACATATTGAGTGTGGTGTTCTGCTTCGAGCTTGCATCAATTAGCTCGTCAAACTTCCTCTTTATTGACCCCATTAAGAGCTCGTTGAACCTTCCACCAGATATGACCATGGCAGAGGGGAAATTCTCCTAACCGTTACGAGCGGACAAAGGTGTGTCGGCCTTGTAGGAGAGGTAGAAGTCCTCCGCCCAGGAGACGCACAGGGCGACTTGCAACCTAACATCGTCGGAGGGTGGCGTCACCTCCTCGACCTTATTTGCCTCACGGGTTTCCTGTCGAAGAGTTTCGTTCCTCCTAGTGTACTACTTTAGATGCCCTTTCTTGATCAGAATTTTGATTGCATCCTTGAGGTAGATGCAGTCTTTCCAGTCACGGGCGACATCTGGGTTGTTGCAGGGAGAGGCTCCACGAATCATCCCATTGGAATCTACACGGGGAAGAGGGATGATGAGTCTCTCGTCGTCGCGGGGATGAGTTACGAGAAACCGGGTGCAGATGTCTCCGCATGGGAGAATGCGATTGTCGTTTCTTCTTTAGTATCCTGATCCATTCGTTCTGTTGAAAGATCATAAAGTTTCTCTAGTTGATCGCCGCGAACAAGGTCACCACGGCCGGGTCGGTGTTGGGCGACATAGGAATTGGTTGGAAACCAACTGGATTGTCGAAGCGTTGGACAATGTTGTAAGCCGTATCGTCAGGGGAGGTAGAGGCGGTGCATCCATCCCTAGGGTCTCCCTCCTCGATGAGGACGACCATATTAGGATCGTGGTCATCGCCGTTGGCGAAAGTGGTGAAAGCAGATTCATGAACGTTATCGTCAACGCGTGGGCTGGCCATGATCGGTGGAAGTTGAAAGTTTTCTTTGATCGTTTGATTTCGGAGGAAGAAAAGACGGGGAAGCAAAAGATTCCCACATATGGCGCCACTAGTCTTACCTGACCAGAAAAGATCTCAACAACCAGTAACACGTTGTGAGCTCCTCGTTTGCGGTGGTGGAGAAGATGTGGATGTGTACCTGCAAGACACTCCGATGCTAAAGTAAGCTTTAGCGAGAAAGAGAAAAAGCAAGTATATAAAAGAGTTAGAATACCTGACCTTTTTGTGAAAGAGAGTATTTATAATGTGCCCCCAGCGATGAGCCAACAGTTATCTGCACTGGGTTGAATCATTAGGCCTAACACGAATACCTACCAAGATCTACGTGGCGTAGGGAAAACCAGCACGTGGTATTCGTCCTGGATAAACTGTCGCATGAACTTCGGAAGGTGGAGGACCTGTTCTCTCGAATGTGGGAAGTTGGATGATGATGTATCCCCGCATGGGGAACATGCGTAGACCGTGGGAGAGACGCATGATAAGCGTTCCCGTGTAAGTTGATGGATTTAGCCTTAATTGGGTCCTCCCTGACGAGGAGTTGGGTTGGGCCGTGTCCAACGGTAGGTCAGCCTCTGGCCCAGTCCAAAACAGGGAGGCATGATTAGTGATGTGATGAAATCACCAAATAATAAGACTCAAGAAAACTACTATTTAGAAAATAACTTAACTTTAGGGATAATGGAAAATTTTGTTCTTGTTTACTTTCTCCATTCAATCAAATAAAGCTAAATAACCTTCAATCAATTGCATTAATTATGACCACATGCCAGCTGATCCACAAAACATTAATAACGAAGAGGGAAAATAATTTGCAACAAAGTCATGTGTCAATTCCGTTCTAACATAATATACAATAAAAACAACTAGAAAAAAACGCCATGACAAGTTAAAGAAAACGAAATTCCTTGTTGAATTTCTCATAACCACCCAACCATTTGGGTGGTCTTCTAATTCTCGGACCTAAATTTTTCTTTGGATTCTCTGTAGTATTAAATTCTCTGGATTCATTACTTTTTGCACCTCCTTATCCACTAATTAAAAAAAATAGTTTGTGAAATAAATAAATATAAAAAATACAATTAATGAAATAAATAATAATAAATAAAAAAATATAAAAATTATATTTCTAATAAAATTATTTAAATAACTTAATAATATTTATACATATAGTTATTTTATAACATCTAAAATTAATTAACCAAATTTCTTAAAGTGAGGGGTTCCCAAAGTATAATTAAGGTCATGCCCATAAGGAGTAGAAGCCCATTTTAATTGGAACGAGAGGGTGCCAGTCGTACGTCACGCGCCACGACATCCTTATCTCGCACGCACCCAGCTCTACTTTTCCCGCCACAACATTCCCGCCAAAACCTTGCACTCTTCTTATTCATTCCATTTCTCCCAGAAATAACACACAGAAGAAAAAACTGAAACCCTAACACAGACCGAAACACAATCCCTCACCAGAGATCGAGAAAATGTCAGGTTGGGACGAAGGTGGTGTATACTACAGTGACCAGGCACACTCCTGGGACGACGGCCGTGGTGAAACGGAAGCCACCGTCTCCAACCACACCATCCTCCAAAAATTCAAGGAGTTCATTCGAAACTTCGAGACTGGGAACAATGTTTTCCCTTACAGAGAGAGTCTTCTCAATAACCCTAAGCTCCTCGTTATCGATATGGAAGATCTCAACTCTTTTGACCCCGATCTTCCTTCTAAGCTCCGATCTGTTCCCGCCGATATCCTCCCACTGGTATTTCCTTCTCCATCACTCTATGTTAATAGCTTAATTGACCTCCGTTTTTACGCTGATTTTTTTTCTTTGTGTAGTTTGAAACTGCGGCGGCTCAGGTTTTGGTGAATTTGAAAACTAAAGTGGCTGGAGATACTGGAGGGATGGAAGATGCTGCACCCGGTGATGTTCAGATTCTCCTTACTTCTAAGGAGGATTCCGTCTCAATGAGATCGCTTGGGGTTAGTGGATTTCACATAATCTAGTGTTAAGTTATTCAGAGTGGTTTTGAATTTTATCTTTATGAAGATGCTTAGGGTTCCAATTTAACCATATGGTACTCTCCAATTAGTGAATATCGTGTGCTTAGGGTTCCAATTGAGACATTTTCTAGTTTTCATTAAAACAAGTTGATTATTATAGCATTTCGACATTTGGTCATATCTGAGGTTACAACTAGTTGTTTTTAATCTTTTTTCACAGGCTCAATACATTTCAAAACTCGTTAAAATTGCTGGGATAACTATTGCTGCATCCAGAACTAAGGCTAAGGCTACATATGTCACTTTGATATGTAAGAATTGTAAGAAAGGGAAGCAAGTTCCGTGTCGGCCTGGACTTGGGGGAGCTGTTGTTCCTCGTTCATGTGATCATATTCCTCAGGTTTAGTTCTACCTGTCTTATGTTTATTTTGCAAATGGGTACTGTGCTTTACTTTATTTTGCATTTGAGGATATCTCTTACAAGAGTTTTTTTTTGTAGCCTGGAGAAGAACCTTGTCCAATAGATCCATGGCTTATTGTTCCTGACAAGAGCAAGTACGTTGATCAACAAACCTTGAAGTTGCAAGAAAATCCCGAGGTAGTAATATAAATGTGATGAAGCTTTAAAGACAGTTTGAGTGATAATCTTATATGACATTTTTTTATGGGCTATTGAAGGATGTTCCTACCGGAGAGCTTCCTAGAAACCTGCTTCTCTCTGTTGATCGACATCTAGTTCAAACAGTGGTACCTGGCTCAAGATTAACAATTGTTGGAATCTATAGTATTTTTCAGGCTTCCAACTCTTCTTCATCGTGAGATCAATAATCTTTTTTAGCATTTTTAGATTCCTTCATTGACAGTCTACACTTGATATCAATATTTATATTCTAATTATTTGTGTTATGCAGTAACAAAGGAGCGGTTGCAGTTAGGCAGCCTTATATTAGGGTTGTAGGAATAGAAGATGCGAATGAATCCAAGTCTCGAGGTCCCACTGCGTTTACGACAGAAGAAGTTAGTGTTGACCAACTATAAATCGACTACTTATGTGCTTTATACCTGTTGGTTGCATCCTTTAATATCACATTGTAGTTGAATGAATGTAGTGATTGTGCATCCTCTGGAATTATTTTTATTAAATTTTAAATATTTTTCAGCTTCCCTTTAATATTAGACGCCAGCTCAATCATATTTAGATGTTACTATATGTAGTTATTACTGGTACTAATAATGGTATCTTTTACAGATTGAAGAGTTCAAAAAATTTGCATCTGAGCCTGATGCATATAAAAATATATGCTCGAAGATTGCTCCGTCTATATTTGGGCATGAAGATGTCAAAAAGGCTGTGGCCTGTCTTCTATTTGGAGGGTCAAGAAAGGTATTACTGTCTATGATTTCCCATGCATTTTGTTGGAACTAATATTTTTTTCATACATGGCCTCTGATCGATTTTGCTAAATTTCCTTGCAAACAGCATTTGCCAGATGGGGTGAGATTAAGAGGTGATATCAATGTGTTACTTCTTGGGGATCCGTCTACAGCAAAGTCACAGGTTACTTTTTGGCATTATTTTCTGTAGACATGTTTTTCAGTTACTGTGTTGACTTGAGACTAAACAAGGGCCATTTTTGGTATCCTAAATGTAGTTGTTTTAGATTTTTACATGAAATGTTAAAACATCACCCCTTTTACAATTTAGCCAGGGACTTTCAACAGCTTAACCATTAATCATTCACATCACGTTATAGTTTATAGTTTGCATTTCCTTACATTACATGAGAATTGCATTTTACAGTTTCTCAAGTTTGTTGAAAAGACTGCTCCTGTTGCTGTTTATACTTCTGGAAAAGGCTCATCTGCAGCTGGACTTACAGCTTCTGTAATCCAAGATAGCAGCACTGTAAGTCCTTTACTGCCTGAATTTTTTATATTTAATACTAAATGTTTGTCATTGCTACTTAGTGTTGAGACATCTAGTCCTTCATGTATCTTGATTGAAAAGTCACCGGTTATTATTGTGCATTTCAGCGTGAGTTTTATCTTGAAGGAGGAGCCATGGTCTTGGCTGATGGGGGTGTTGTCTGCATTGATGAGTTTGACAAAATGAGACCAGAAGATAGGTGTGTTTACCATTTGTTGTATCTTTTTGGTATTTGTCATTGTTTGTTTTGGTTAACCTTTTTTCTGTATCTGTTTTGTAGGGTTGCCATTCATGAAGCCATGGAACAGCAAACTATATCCATAGCCAAAGCAGGAATAACAACTGTTCTTAATTCCAGGACTTCTGTTCTTGCTGCGGCCAACCCTCCATCAGGGCGTTATGATGACCTTAAGGTAGACTGATATTTTGCCACTCTAATTTGTTGTTTGGTTTCCTAAAATGCATAGTTTTATTACAAGAGACTAACAAGATTGATAATTGTTTATCCAGACTGCACAGGACAATATTGATTTACAGACAACTATTCTTTCTAGGTTTGATTTAATCTTCATAGTGAAAGATATCAGAATGTACAGTCAAGATAAGGTAACTTTAATTGTTTTATACTATGTTCTCACTTCTAAGCATGCAATTCTTTCTTTTGTTTCCTTTAAATGCAGCTTGTGCTATGAGAAAATGTTATGTCAAATTTTGTCTTGTGATGTTTACATTTGATAATGCACATTGTCTAAGCACTTTTTTTGAAACAGCTATCTAGTTAATATTTAGCAAAATGTATCTTAACTCTTGATTTGTGTGTCATTCAAGGACTAGTTTTGCGTAAGCATAAATGTATTTTACACATTCCATGGTTTTCAATATTTAAGTCAGTGGTTGACTTATTTTGTTTACAGATTATAGCTAGTCATATCATTAAAGTCCATGCTTCAGCTAGTGCAACAAGGGGTGAGAATAAGACAATCATTTCCAAAGAAGAAAATTGGCTGAAGAGGTATGCCATATCTTAATCAGACTTTTCATTAATTTCAGTTTTGAGAGAATGAGCTTTGAGCTTTTTTCTAATACAGGTACTTAAAGTATTGTCGAACTGAGTGCCACCCTCGTCTGTCGGAATCTGCAGCAAAGTTACTGCAAAATAATTATGTGAAAATCAGACAGGTATTCATGAATATGCTATCTAATTAATTAGAAATGCATTGTTAGCCTCTAGTGTCAATATGCTTATCAGTAGCTGATGAAAATGTTGGAGGCCTGTTGGAATTCTGTATTTTGCTCATAATTCTGAGTCTTAAACTGAATATTTTGTTAGAGGCCATTTACAGCCATATTTCTTCTCTAAATGCTGATTTAATTTAATAAAATGAATATGGTTCTGAAAATATGATTAACTTTTTTCATGAAAAAATGTAGGATATGAGGCAACAAGCAAATGAAACTGGAGCAGCTGCTGCAATACCAATTACTGTAAGGCAGCTGGAAGCTATTGTAAGGTTGAGTGAGTCACTTGCAAAGATGAAACTGTAAGTACCTTTTGTCCATACCTCCTGGTTTAATTTCATTAAGAAAATCATTCAACCAATCTTCACAAGAGAAACAAAGTTTATCTTTTTCATATATAAATTAAATGGAGATGATTTGTGATTAAAAAAACTATTGTAATAGACATTTTAAAAAGTGACAAACAAATCTGAATAAAATGTCTTATATTTAAGGATGGAGGGAGTATTATCCTGAATAACAATGTTTTTTTTATTCTTTTGTTGGTCCACATATCTTTTGATAAAATACGTCTCATTGATCAACTCTTGTACCAGATCTCATCTTGCTACTGAAGAGAATGTGCAAGAAGCCATAAGGCTTTTCACTGTGTCTACGATGGATGCAGCTAAATCAGGAATAAACCAACAAATAAATCTCACACCTGAAATGGCACATGATATACAGGTTTGTTTTGTGATGAGACCATCTCTCTTTTTCCAAATAAGCTTCATATGCTGATGAATTATTATTTGCTGTGAGCAGCAAGCAGAAATTCAGATAAAGAGAAGAATTGGAATTGGGAACCACATATCAGAAAGAAGACTGATTGATGACCTCGGCAGAATGGGGATGAATGACTCTATTGTAAGTACTATGTAGTCACTTAACTGATAAGACTGCCAGCTTAAAAACCAAAATTTAGCAATGCCATTTGGTTCAAACTTTTAAAAATACACATTTTAAACAGGGTTTCAGAATCCTAGCTGATATTTTCTCACAAGCACACCAAAAATATATAAAGATACCAAACATTAAATCACACCTGGCAAGGGCTAATATTAAGGATAATCAAATTTGGATTGAATTAATGTTAGCACTACTTAACTGTTACAACTTGAAGCAATGATATATTTCTTTTTTTTTTCTTTTCCTGGGCTGTACTCAAATGTCTGTTAACAATCATCACACCAAGAGTTACATGTATATTTTCTTGTCTTATTCATTCATGTGAAAACATTTTGCAGGTGAGAAGAGCCCTTCTAATCATGCACCAGAGAGAAGAAGTGGAGTACAAGCGAGAAAGGCGTGTTGTATTTCGGAAAGCCTAACTTGTCTGTTTTCTGACCCATTAGTTATTATGCAGAATGCTAAGATTCAATTAAGGACAGCCGAATGTATTCTTCATGTTATTTTAAGTTTCCTTTGTGTTGTAAGGCTAACGGTTAGTTTTTTGCTTTATAATATGCAAGTACTGTGTATACCAATCATACACTCCAAAACCAGGGGGAAAAAATCTATCGTTCATCTTGTTTTTTGAATAGAATTCTAATTCAATCCATTAAAAATTAAATGTGAAACTAAAAGCTGAATCTGACATTAATATATGGTCTCATGGTGAGCATTCATATTATCCTCTCCTAATTATTTTTACATAAGAGCTATAAATGTAATGTAAGCCACTCATAAATTTTGATTAAAAAAAAACACTTGGTGTATTGATTCAATTACATCTGTTAAATATAATTTTGTTTACCACCTGTTTGTCTGTACACCAATTGATTCAATTACACTAGTTAAATATGATTTTGTTTTCCACTTCATATATATATATATATATATATATATATATATATATATATATATATATATATATATATATATATATATATATATATAGATTTCCATAGTAAAAAATAAATATAATTTAGTACGCTATAACATCAATTTGGTTAACAATGAACAATTTCTCAATTTATTAGGGTAACCTTGAATAGCAGCAATGGTGTTTTAAAGATTGATCATTGATGATGTGATCTCTGATGTAATCTCTACTCTTCATGTATACTTTAAATGAAAAGTGATAAAGAGGTTTAACACCTATTTCTAACAACTATTTCTAAGATCTAAGGTTTAGCAAAAGAGAAACACACAACAAAGAAGATAAGAAGAAAATATAAAATTCTGAAATTAATTCTCTACTTTTCTCAAAATCAAAAGTGCTTTAAATACAAATAACAATTCCTAAAGGAATGACTTAATGGGCCAGCCCACAAAGAAGAGCAAAATAACATAATAATTAATAATGAAACTTATTATTGACACAAAATCCTACTTCCACTTGGTTTTGGATCTCATATGTGTGGACCCGTTATTACTACTATCCAGCCCAAAAATATCTTGTCCTCAAGATTGGGTTTGAACATTTTTTATGGGTTTGAAAAATGCAGCCCATTTGGTTAGTCCATCCAAATCAGTAACCAAAGGAATTGAAGCTGAGTGGGAACAGTTAGAAACCAAAGAAGAAGTAGGTGACAATTATGCCGCATGGGAGAGTGGAAAAAGTGAGGTGTGCAGGCGGAATAGGTGACTGCAGTGAATGGTCATGTCATAGGGTAATGTGTGAGTAGCAGCAGCATGTGAGAAGGGTAGGGGTGGACAACACCCGCATACCCGGCCCAACCCGGTGCAAACCGAAAAAAAAAAGAGTGTAGGCAGGTTAGATAGGCCCAACGAACTAAGCGGGTTGTCAAATCCGAGTTAAAGTGGGTTCCAATGGGCGGACCAGGTACTTAAAACGGACCCACTGGTACCCAGACCCGCCCAGTTACTAAACGATGCGTTTAAAGAGGAGTGGGGGTAATACTCTTTAGTCTTCACCCATAATTCTTTCCTCATTTCTCTCACACACTCTTGTTCGTTCCCCGTTTCCATCCCAGACTCGCCCATCGTTCCATCATTCTCTCACTCGTTTGTTCCTCATTTTTCTCACTTTTTCGTTCCCAGATCTTTCACTCTCTCGTTCCACTTCTTCACAAAGGTTTGATTTTTTCTAATGTTTTCAAAGTTAGAGTTAGAATTTAGGGTTTTTAATTTAGGGTTTCTGAATCTAAGATTTTTAGTTTAGGATTTATGATTAAACACTTATTGTTATTGTTTACAGGTGATTAAACACTTTGAACTAGTTCTATCTTAGGGTTTGATTTTTTAATTTATGTTGTTGTTTTGTTTCTATGAATGTCTCAGTTCTCTCTAACTCTAACTTTGAAAATTGATTTTGCATGATATTTAATTGATGTGGAATGATATTTGGATATTGGAACGTGAATTTTGCTACCCCTGCATGAATCATTATTTTGTGAAGACTAAGGTAAATACATAACTCATGTTCTATTTGTTTTCACTTTTCTCAACACCCAAATTGCAATTTTATCAAAATGTTTAATTGTTTGATTTAACTAGTTTGTGTTTTACACTTTTGTTTTCACTTTTGTGAATACTTTGGATTTATTTTCACTTTTCACTTTTCTCAACCCCTGCATGAATTATGACTTGTAACTTAATGAATTTAACTAGTTTGTGTTTTACAGTACACAATTTCTTTAACCAAGTGGAATGGACCAAGGTCAAAGTGGAATGGATCAAGGTAATTGTAAGTGTATTAACTGAATATACGTTTGGCATTGCATATATTTTATATAATTGTTGATATGATGTGTATTTGATGAACTCTGAATGTTTGAACTAAATGTGATTGTTTAAATAAATGAAATGTTGTTATGAATCCTGCACTTAAAGTGAAGCTAGTTGCTTTAGAGTAAAATTGTAGTGAAGTTATTTTTTTTAGGTTTAGCTTGAATTACAGTTAGTAGTCAATTGATTTTGGATTGGAAAGAGTATCAATTTTGCTAAATATGCTACTTATTATGAATTTTGGCTTGACTTGGAGTTAGGATTAGAATGTGTTGCATTAACTATTATGACTTGACCTGACTTGCATTAACTGTTATGTTTTTTGGAAGTGACTTGCATTTCCTGAGTTGCTAAATATGCTACTTATTATGACTTGGTCTGACTTGCTAAATATGCTACTTATGTCTTGTATTAACTGTTATGTGTTTTGGAATGATGTTATAGTGAATTAATTTGAAAATTAAGCTATTGTTATGTCAGTAAGTAAAGAGATTGAACTATCATGGTTAATGAATTTGTTTGTTATATGAACTTGATTATGACTAGTCTTTGAATGATTAACATGATATAGTTAGTGAATGGAATGGTTGGATTGAATTAAGCTATTAACATGATATAGTTAGTGAATTGAATGTTTGGTAAATAGAGTTTATGCTACTATTAGAATAAGTTCATGTTAAATATGAAGTAGGGCTTCACGTTTTGATATGGATAGTTTTCACAGTTGGTTAGTGATTGGTGTAGGTTAAGTAGTAGTTAATTAAAACAGTGACAGTTTGATTTAATATATGTTGTCTTTATAAAATATTAAATGATTAGTAGTATTTATAAAATATGATTTCTTTATAAAATATTAAATGAAAACAATGACAGTTTGATTTAATTGTTTAAAATTCAATGATATGTATAGTTAGTGAATGGAGTGATTAATAGTAGTTAGTCAATGACAATTTGATTTAGTATAGTTAGTATAGTATAGTTGATTTAATTGTTTAAACAATGATTAGTATGTTTTAATATTTAATTACACATGATTAGTAATACACCTTAAATAATTATACGGTGGACATAATGTTCCAGTATTTTGCATCTAGTTTTGCATCTACAATGAGCATAAATAATGACAACTTGATTTAACTCTTTAGTTTATATTTCTTTAAAATCAACAGGTAATATACAATGAACATTGATAATGGTTCAACAATGATATAAATAATTAGTTTTTTTATTCATAGTATTTTGCAGTATGTTCTAGTATTTTGCATCTAGTTTTTAATCACAATATGTTCTAGTATGATTTTAAGTGTATGCAATGTGTTTATAAATATGATTTTGATCATAGTTTTTAAGTGAATTGGAATGTTGATTGGTAGTTTTTGATAATGGCTCCTTCGTTATTTCAGTGACTGGTGAGCCTAATCAAAATCCACCAGTTAATGAAGTAGGTTCAACTACACAGCCTACAAAAAAGAGGAAATCTAGTGCAAGTGGTTCTAGGCAATCATCTGCTTGCTGGGAACACTTTGTTAGATTACCTGATGACCTTGTTGATGCACCCACTGCAGCCTGCAAACACTGCCATAAAAAATACTTGTGTGACCCTCGGACTCACGACACCACCAACCCGAACCATCATATTTTAAAATGTCCTAAGAGGCCCTTTGTTGTGTCAACTGACCCCACACAAACTATTCTAACATACCCAATTGTAGATGGTAACTTGGTTCAAGTTAGCTCTAGGTTTGACAAGAAAGCTTGTAGAAGTGCGTTGTCTGTTTTGTAGTTCTAGATGAGCAGCCATTTAGTGCAGTAGAAGGTGAAGGGTTTAAATTTTATTCCAAAGTAATGCGGCCCCAATTTACCATCCCATCTAGGCGTACGGGAGCTAGAGACTGTTTTCAGCTACACTTGGATGAAAAACAAAAGTTAAAGGCCTTTTTTAATACTGACTGCAATAGGGTAACACTTACTATTGATTGTTGGACTTCTATACAAAATCTCAATTACTTGACCCTTACGGCACATTTTGTGGATAACGATTGGAAGTATCAAAAGAGAATTATAAGCTTCGCCGTAATTCCAAACCACAAGGGTGAAACTGTTGGTAGGAAGATTGAAGAAGTGTTGAGGGATTGGGGAATCAGAAATGTGTCAACCATAACTGTTGATAATGCCACTTCCAATGATGTTGCTGTGACATATCTAAAGAAAAAGGTTGCAAATATGAATGGGTTGATGGGGGATGGAGAGTGTTTTCATATGAGGTGTTCTGCTCACATTTTGAACTTGGTGGTAAATGAGGGTTTGAAAGATAAACATTTATCTGTTACTAGTGTTAGGGATGCTGTTAGATTTGTTAAGTCCTCACCTCATAGGGCAACCAAGTTTAAAGAATGCATTAAATTTGCTGGGATAACTTGCAAAAAATTAGTATGTCTTGATGTTTCAACTCGTTGGAACGCAACATATTTAATGCTAGAGGCTGCAGAGAAGTTTCAACTCGCTTTTGAAAAGCTTGAGGATGAAGAGTCGAGTTATAGGGAGTTCTTTGGAAAAGGTAATCCCCCTAGTAGTGATGATTGGGACACTGTTAGGGCTTTTGGTGCTTTTCTAAAGTTATTGTACGAAGCAACTAAGA